ATAATGCCTACAGAGTTGACAGGCTACCGGACACTATCTAGACGAGTGCACGTAGTAAAGCCCTTGAAGAGATACAGAGTAAAACCACACCAAGAGGAACATGATCAGGACGCTAAAGAGACTTGGATCCATGAACGATGAAAATTAGCTGAAGGTATTGACAGTGAAAAGGTATAAATCAGTGAGAACACGAGCACTATCTTCAGATGCCAATCAAAATCAAACTCCCTGCCATCAAGTTCATTCTGACTCATGGCAACCCTATAGGACAAGCAGAACAGGCCCTGGGAGCTTTTGAGACTGCAACTCTTTACAGAAGTAGAAGCTCCCATAGAGCAGCTGGTGGTTTCCAATCGTGGACGCTGACATTAGCAGCCAATGTGTAACCACTGTGCCACTACGGCTGTTTTCAGGTGTCCCTCCAAAACTCACCGCCATCCAGTCGATTCTCATAATGACCCTGTAAGACAGGGCAGCACTGTTGGTTTCTGAGACTGTAACTCTTTATGGGAGTAGAAAACCTCATCTTTTTTCTGTGGAGCCTCTGGTGGTTTCGAATTCCTCACCTAGTTAGCCCAACACGTAACCACTATACCACCGGGCTCCTTCCAGATGGCACTACTACCTGGAAAAAAAGGATTCTACTACCAAAAACCTGAATTAGAGGTAGTGAGTAAACATTAGTGGGAGAGGGGCTTTAGTTTAATGCAAATACTTAGCTATGAGCAATTCAAATGAAATGGGCTACCTTGCAGGTTTAAGTGCCTCCAAATTAATGGCTACATAACTTTGTACACGTCTTATTTATCCAGTGCTGCTGCGATAGAAATACCACAAATAGGTGACGAAATAAACCTATAATGTGCAGATGGCAGAGAATGTAGACCACTGAACTGGAAAGGAGGAGACCCAACCGAGTGAGATCACAGCCACCAAGGTGAGGAGATGAAGTTAGGTGCCGCAAGATTGTTTCCTGCTCTAACACGGCATGACTTGAGCTAATGCATTAAGCATGAGAGTCTCAGTGCCAGGTTAATGGCTACTGACTGTTCCATCAACTAGATCACCAGCCAGCCCTCCCTACTCCTTATGCCCAAACAAAAAACAAACAAACATGTAGGTGTTTCCTTTGCATTTTCTGTCTTGGAAAAAAGTGTTCTAAAGAAGTGGAGTCACTAACACCAAAAATCAGAAAGGAGATGGATCACAGCTAATCCGATCTAATTCCTGGTCACAATCCTTGTGTGGTAACTTTCATACCATGTTAGGGTGGCTTCAGCAGCATCCTTTACCCTCATAGACGCAGGGTTTGGCTCCTTATCTCCTTTGTACTTGACCTCTTGCTCACTATTCTTAGACTTACTTCCTGAGATACCCAGTTCCACAATTTCAAGTACTTCCTTAAGGCAGTCCTAAAAGCAAGAGAAGTAGATCAATTTTTGTAACGCTCCGTCTCATGAGAAGACACAGAATACATCAAAATGCTAATAGTGGTTATGTTTTGGTGGTGGCAGTGTTTGTCTCTTTCTAGTTTTCTTTAATAAAAATGCTATTTTCGTGATAATACAGTAAACTCTATCCACACACACACATTCCTCCTTAAAAAAAAAACCAACTGAATTTGATTATTTGGAGAGTTAGACAATAACTGATAATTAATTCAATTTGATTTTATCAGTCACAGTTCTTTTTAAATTACATGAATTTTTTAAATTCAGGACTGAAAAATCATCAGAGCTCAAGCTCATAACTTTAGAATGCATAAGAAAAATGACTAATGTTTAATCAACAGTACTATTTTTAAAACTACATAAAAGTTTCCTATAAATATTCAATGAGCCAGTATCTTTTATTTATACTGTGAATTCTTGATCACTATCTGATTTCCTTACAGGTAGGCATTCCATGAACAACAGAAGAGAACAGATGAGATAGCTGTGTCCACTTGAAAGCGGAAACCCGCATATGAAATGGCATGAAGCGAAACTTTCAGAAACAACTATCTTTGCAGCCTGGACACCAACTGCTCTTCTTGGTTTGGTGATAGGAGACCAAAAGTACCTACTAGCCACCTCATGGCTACTGTCCTTTCTAAAGAGAAAATTCTTTATAGGTCACATAAATTAATCAAGTCCCATCTTTCAAAGAATTTCTCTATGGGTTACCTTGTAATCAAAATAACAACAAAAAAACCCCAAACAAAGCCCAGATTCCTGCCACTGAATTGACTGACTCACAACAACCTTATAGGACAGAGTAGAATTGGTTCTCTGGGTTTCGGAGAGCTTGGAATTTTTATGGAAGCATACCGCCTTCTCTTTCTTCAGGTAAAGCACCTGGGAGGTTCAAACTGCTAAACTTGAGGTTAGCAGTTTGGTGAACAACCCACTACTCCACCAAGACTTCTGAATCAAAGATGAGGGTGCTTCAAAAAGCTCATGGAAAAATGGATGTAAGATTTGAAAGAATTTGTCCACACACTTTCTGAAGCCTCCTTGTATAAACAAGTTTACAGTTTGGGCAAGTTGTAATCCAAAGGACAAGCGCCTACTGGAATCTCTCCATGATGTTCAATTTAAAATGTGCAATATTGTATTTGAATTTAGATAAACTCTTTTCAAAAGCACTTTCCCCACCTAGTTTGGTTCCCCTTCATCTTTTCAGATGTAGTATAAACATACCTTCTCATCAAGCATATCAGGGTGCTCCGTCAGCCAGACACAGAGACACTGAAAAGCTGCCACAATCATGGAGTGCAGATCCCGGGAGTGCAGCGGAGCCGGCCTACTACACTGGTACACGATATAGCTGCACACGGAACTGATGGCTCGCTTCCGTTCTCCTGAGTCAACCAGCACCTTCACCTGAGCATATTTATTTAGGGAACAAATGTTAGCCAGCAACCATATTGCCAATTCCAAAGCATCTGCACTAGGGCCTGGCCTATTTGAGAATGTGATATTATCACAGGAAGCCTTACTTCATTTCTGCATATTTGTAGATAGGGTATTTTAGGTGAACTATTAACTATTATTTTACAAAAATAATGGCCTTTTAATGTGCACGTTTTTATGCCCCCTAATCCAACCCTACAGTGGTATCTAATGGCGAGAAAGGTCCGTGCAGCTGCTCAGAGGTATAAAAAAACTGCACATATTTCATGTGGACAATTTGAGAAGTTCGGACTTCTACACAGACATCTGTGATGCCCTCATCACAGTTGGAAAGACCTCCTGGCACATTTGATAATTTCCCTCCACTTCTCTTCACCCACCTCCTCAAATAACCACTGATCAGTTTTTTGACTAAGTTAGCTTGAATCTACTAGACTGTTATGCAGATGAAATATAGTATGTCCTCTTTTCTGCTCTGGCTCCTTCTCGACATAATTATTTTGAGATTCATTCTACATTTGTATTTATTATTCATTCCTTCTTCACTAGTCAGTAGCACTCCACTGTATGTACATACCACAATTCATTTATCCACTCATCTATTAATGAACATTTAGATTGCTTCTAGCTTCTGGATGTTACAAATAAAGTTGCTATGAACATTCACATACAAGTTTTTGGGTGGCCGTATGCTCTCTTAGCTCTCTAGCTAGACAATACGATAGGCATGTGTTTGTTTAACTTTTCAAGGAACTGCCAAGCTACTGTAACATCTTATACTCTCACTCAACTGTGCATGATATCGGTGCTTCCTCCAACCATGAGATGGTCTTTTAAATATTATCCACTTTAATAAGTATGTATGTAAACAGGGCCCCAGTGGCTAAGTAAGTTAAGTATTGAGTTGCTAACTACAAGGCCAGTGGTTCAAATCCCCAGCCAACTCCAAGGGAGACTGATGAGGCAAGTCTGCTTCCCCTAAATATTTATAGCCTCGGAAACCCTATGGAGTAGTTCTGTTCTGAGTCAGAATTGACTTGATGGCAGTGATTTGGGGTTTTTTTTGAATGGGTATGTAGTGATATCTAATTATAATTTTAATTGCATTTCCCTAATGAATAATGAAGAGCCTTGGTGGCATAATGGGTTATGCCTTGGGCTGCTAATCATAAGGTCAGCAGGTTCAAACTACTAGTGGCTCTGAGGGTGAAGGAGTAAGCTTTCTAGTCCCATAAAGATTCAGTCTCAGAAACCGACAGGGGCAGTTTTTTTCTGCCCTATAGGGTGACTGTGAGTCAGAATCCCTGAAAAAAGAATGGGTATAAAATACCTAGGAAACAGCACCCTGTTTTTGAAAGCAGTATTTACAAATGTCTGCTCTCACTTTCTGTGATCAGAAACTGCTCCTCACTTAATGCAAGCCCACCACTCCTATCCTTGGGATTGCTGAGGGATGCTCTCCACAGTGGTGGGACCAGCCCGGGTTTTCTTGCCTTTTGTTCTGTGACTTAGTCAATCACGGTCGCGGATAACTCGTTACCACATTTGTGAAGCACAGGCTTGAACGCTGAACTCTTTAGAACAGTGGTTCTCAACCTAAGGCTGCAACCCCTTTGGGGCCGAATGACCCTTTCACAAGGGTCGCCAAATACATTCTGCCTATCAGATATTTACATGACGATTCATAACAGTAGCAAAATGACAGTGATGAAGTAGCTACGAAAATAATGTTATGGTTGGGGAGTCACCACAACATGAGGAACTGTGTTAAAGGGTTGTGGCATTAGGAAGGTTGAGAACCACTGCTCTATACAATACCTTAGGTTTTTCACCTTCCTGTTCACAGTGTTTAAGAAAGTTTATCTCACTTGATCCTCATAAAAATCAGGTGTTAGAAGCAAAATAATCTACACGTTTTACAGATAAGAAAACACTTAGGAGAGACACAAATTGCCAACTAGTTCTAAACTCCACAAAACTGATATAGTAACTGTAGAAGAAAGTATAACCAATTTTTACTCATCCCTGATAATGGAAGGGGCACAGATAATCCCAAATATGTTCTAGGAACCATTCTTTTCAAAACAACCCCCCTGAATTAAATCTGCATTTATTTATGGTATTTTCACATTTATAATAATTTTCAATATTGTACATTAAAATTAAATAACCCTGCAATGACAGAAAAGGCCACAATGAAAATTCTAATGTATTATAAGCAAATTCAAGACCAATTATGTACAAATAGCAAACAGCAAAAAATATCTTAATACTCTTTGAATCTATTTTCAAAAATAAAGTTCATATAACAAAATTTCATTTGGATGCTCAATTTTGCACTTTGGACGATAAAACTGTATCCAAGTATGACTCACATGAAGGGGTTAGGAAGTATGGAAAAAAAGAGTCAAGGCCCAAGGCTGCTGGGCTGTAGTGAAGGACTGCCTCCTCACCTTTGCCAGACCAGAGAGGAGCTCGAGAGCTGCCAGTGAGATGCTCATGTCCTGCCGCCACTGGGAGTTGAGTCTCTGAGTGACGAGGTGAATGCTGCGAATCAGGAGCCCAGCAGCTGAATCTGTATTAAGAGCTAGGATATAACCCAATGCCACATCCCACAGGGAGGGAAAACAACTAAGCATTAGTAACAAGAAGCACAGCATTCCACCAGGCACAGACCACAGCAGCCACAGTGAGCACGACAAGCACCCACACAGTGCTATGCTTCCCGCCCCACTGCCTGAGCGCCACACCTACCTGACCAGTGCACAGGGCACACAGGCAAGACCAGGGTAGTACCTGGCACCCAGGTGAGGCGCTCTGAAGACAGCCAGCTACTGGGATTTGGCAGTTTTAGCACCATTTTTAGACCAATGTAAATCTTAACTGTCAAAGTTAACAACTCAGAGAGTTTCACATTTTCAAAATATAATGAAAATGCTGTCAATTCCTTTCTTGGAATTTTAAAAGAAGAGAATATTAAAAATTGAGAGCCTCTGTAGATGCTGGGAATTATCCTTAAGCATCTGTTGAATTGTTTTCAGGGTTTTAACTATCAAAAATCACATGCAAGGCCTTTTCAAATATATTTTAACATTTAACTTTTAATTTAAGACTACATTACTACTACTTTAATTAAACCAAGCCACTGTGCTTTTATTTGGCTTCTAATTCCACATTTAAAAGAAATTTCTACTTAGCTAGTAATAAATTAGGACAAATTAAATTGAATTTACAAAGGAAGCTTTATAGGGACATTATACCTGTGGATCCTATCAGAAAGAGGGCAGTGACAACAGAAAAAGGAATGATCATTAAAGAGAGACATTCATGCGACACTAACACAAATCTGGACTTCTTAGTAAAAAAGTGTTTACGACATTACAAGCAGAACTCTTTAACACTGGATCAAAATGCTGCAACAAACAATAACCACTCCAAACATTTATATTAGAACACATGCAGCAATGCAAACATGTTAACATGTTTTAGAAAACATGAAAACTAAACAGAATTTTTTACCTGAGAAGGTACTTAAACCCACAGAGAATAAAGTGACAGTTTAAATACCTTCTTTACAGAGGCCAGACTGAGGTGTACTAAATAGTCACATGGTGGCTTTATGTCTGGCATACTCAGGAGTAATTAGTGTACACTTCAACCTCAGACACATTCCTGGGAGTCTCGGCTCAAAAAGCCTCCAGATGATTAAAGCATTAAACTCATATCCAAGGAGCAAGAGATTTCATTCCAATTTCAGTGGGCTAACACACACAGATTCAATATCTCAGTATTTGTGTGTGTAAAAGTAAAAGGGCACACCTAAACTCACAGAACTCATAAAGTAACTGTGCAGGGAAAAGAACGTCATTGAATTGGATGCTTGGCTGTCAAATTTATTTGACAGGGTGGAAAATCAAAATGTTTCCTTACTCTTGCTGAGAATGTGCAATGACAGAACCCAACAATACATGGTAGAAAATTTGGTTTTTTAAAGTACAGAAGCTCCCCTCTGGGTTCCCATGTAATGTGTGCCCACCCAGCAATACCTGACTACTGCAATCTTTGCCTTTGGACGGAGCTCTCAAGAAGAGACTACGTCTGATCTGACCCCGTGTCACTGGTTCCTGGCACAAAATGCAAAATGCTTCCTGACCACCTACTACAATCCTTCAAAAAACCCAATAAACTACTCAAAATCGAACTACTAAAAGCTATGCAACCACACTGAAAAGATGAGTGGTGGGGAACGTCCAGTCTGCAAAATCATAAATACCAGCTAGCATCACACTAGAGAGAATTAAGTGAAGTCATCTCACTAGGGGTGAGTTAATTAAATGTTTGACCAGCAGGGCCTCAAACGAAGTTATTCATATCCAAATGGCCCTTGGTAGAAAAACAGGTTCCCCATCCCTGGAAAAGATACTCTCTCCCACCCCCCCACCCCCAATTCTAGCCTTTTGGCCTAACATACTCTGGATTATACCCCCCAAAAATCACAAACATTACGATTTTGTTTATTTTTGCTGTTTGGTAAGTCTGCACATTACATTTGTTCTATAAAACTTAGGATTCAAAGACAAACATGGCTTACCATAATCCCTTAGGAGCGCCTGAGCAGGTCTTTCACTGTCAGGAGTTGTGGGCTCTGTGCTTCCACCACTTGCTGAACTAATACCACTATTAGTTCGACTATGACTCTTCAAGTTATTTTCTCCACCACCCTAGTCCAAAGAAAATGAATCCAATATTTGAGACTACATGCACACTTTCCAAGTATAGACAAAGGTCAATCATTAAAGGTTACATGACAAAATAGAGTACGCTAACTGGCAGGCCTAAACTTGCACACAGAGAAAGACTGACTAAAGATTTTAAACTGCTGTGGTATTTGGAGGCGCCCTGGTGGTGCTGTTGGGTAAATATCGGACTGCTAACCGCAAGGTTGGTGCAAGGTTGGTGGTTCAAATCTACCAGCTGCTCCAAAGGAGAAAGCTCTGGCTATCTGGTCCTGTAAAGACTGACAGCTTCAGAAACCCTTTATAGGACCACTGTGAGTCGGAATCGACTGGATGGTGTGGGTGTGGGTTTGGTGATATCTGGGTAGTGACACCATCTCGTGCAGGATATGGAAGATTTAATGACTACCATTGTCCAGGACTTGTACATCTCTACTAGATAATGAATCTGGAACCTTAGAGAAAAGACCCTAGTGCCTTCCAAGCAAAACTTCAGAACAGGGGCATAGTCTCAAGAAATATCAACAAAAAATAAATTTCAAATGTAGTTATATCATAACATAAAAATAACAACGTACCATCCATGGTCATTATAAGGAACCTTGGTGGCACAATGATTAAGCATCCGGTGCTAATTAAAAGGTTGGCAGTTCAAATTTGCCAAGCAGCTTTGTGGCAGAAGACCCAGTAAGGTGTTCTCAGAAAGATTACCGCCTAGACAACTATATGAGGCCCTTCTATTCTGTGGCATGGTTTGATGGCTAGCAAAGGTTTTCTTTCCCTTGTTTCCACCCCTCCGCTGAAGGTAATTCACTACATTCAGAAAAGTTCATTACTCTTAGCTTAATCATCCATCGTCTATCTATACAGCATACCCAGCACACTCTCTTAATTCCCTTGCTCCCTAGCCTCTATTCCAGCGACAGGGATCACATATCTTGAAGATGAAAGCAAGGGACACTGAGAGTCTCAGGAAAGCTTTTTTTGATTTAAGAGCTTTGGGGCACCTTTACATTTTGATTTAAAGTGGCTATAAAAAGATAGTGAGATGGGAACAGACACATTGCTTCTTCCTCACAGCTAAGTCTAGAACAACCTGGGAGGCAGGGATTATTGAGCAGGGGTTGTTCCGAGACTACTCAGGCCAGTTAACCCACATTAGAACATAGGACTTTTGAGAAGATATTGTCCAGGAAAAAGACTTGCATTTAGCTATACCATCTCTCAGGGATCAGATATACAGCTGATGAATAAAAAAACTTCAATATATATTTTAAAGTAGGATTTTTTTGAGTCAACGAGTTGAATTTATAATGAAAATGTCTTTTAGAAATCAGAAGGACAATCTTTTTGGACCTCATTTACATAAAATCAGAAGCTGTTATTCTCTTCACAATTACAGCTGGAATTGAGATATTAATGGCATGCTTACCATCTCCATTTGGCAACCAATGGCTTCTAAAAGTGCTGAATCTTGAACAATATTTAACATTGCCCCTGCAAGAGCAAAATCAAATAAACAAATAAATCTTACGGATTTGTTTGGTTCGGAGGAGTGGGAGCACTGGTGGCACAGTGGGTACATGCTAGGCTGCTCACTGAGAGCCGGTACATGGGAGAAGAGAAGGCTTTCCACGACTGAAGGCTTAGATCCCCGCGGGGCAGTTCTACTCTGTCCTATAGAGTATGAGTTGGAATCAAGTGGGTGGCAGTGAGGCTTTTTTGGAGGAGTGGGAAAGAAGGAGAAAGAGTCTTAATTTCTGTTCCTGGTGGTGGTTTATGGTTGTGCTACGTGATGAATTTAACCAATGATACTGAAGTGTACACATAAAAAAGTCAAATTGAAAAAAAAGTCACATTGGTAAGTATAATTTTAAAACAAACGATTGGAGAAAAAAAGACCAACAAAGGCCATTCTGGTGGGATGTATCTACATATAACCTCTCCCTTGGGGGATGGACAACAGAAAAGTGGGTGGAGACGTTGGACAGTGTACGATATGTCAAAATAATAATTTATAAATTATCAAGGGTTCATGAGGGAAGGGGGAGCGGGGAGGGATGGGGAAAAAATGAGCTGATGCCAGGGACTTAAGTGGAGAGCAAATGATTTGAGAATGATGAGGGCAACAAATGTACAAATGTGCTTTACATAATTAATGTATGTGTGCATTGTGCAGAGTTGTATGAGCCCCTAATGAAATGATTAAAAAAAAAAAAAGACCTACCTCATAATCAAAACAAAACAAAAAGAACATTCTGGTATTCCGAAGATGAACAGAGTGGAAAATGGAGAATGCCAAGTCACATGAAAGAGTTCCCTGCTTTCCTTCCTTTGCAGGAGGCTCTTGTGATACAGCAGTTAAGCGCTGAGCTATTAACCGAAAAGGTTGGCGGTTTGAACCTACCAGCTGCTCCATGAGACAAAACTGTGGCGGTGTTTCAATACAGATTGCTAGCCTGGGGAACTCTATGGGACAGTTCTACGCTGACTTCCAGGGTTGCTATGGGTTAGAATCGGCTCAACAGCAGTAGGAGTTTATGCTTTTCCTTCCTTCATCTCTTCACACATTTTTTTCCTTATAAAAAGCAAACAAACTCTGACCCTGATTCAGAAAAGTAGAGCTTGCATTGAGCAGAGGCCCAAATGATTGAGTCTCCTCAGCTTGCCTCAAGGTGAACATTATTTAGATTTCCATTTACAAATATATAGATGAACACAAACCTAATATCATTTGAGTGTTGTTGGGGTCTGTTTCTGTTTGCAAGGCACCTATTAGTATATTCACAAGTCTCAACTTGAGGGACAGAAAAGTTATCGGTTTATCATATGAAGAGTTGTCATCATTACTAAACTTTCCTTCCAGGACCACCTATGGAAGAAACAAAAACGTTTCACATCAATTATTGTAGAACACTATGTCCTGCAGGAACTGTTAGAGTGGACAAGGAGAAGGGCAGTCTGATAAGTAAGGCACTCACTCTACATATAATATTAGCCACTGGCTACATCTGACACTACCTCACACCTTATACGTTTCCAACATTAATAGGCCTCGCAGGTTGGCAGACTGACAATACCATAACAAATCAAGCAACATAAGAACTTTGTTGATTTCAAGTAAATAAACATTTGGGAAAAAAAAGAAATTGTTCTACATATTAAATACAACTATATGAATTAGCACACGAAACAGAATGTAGACTACAAAACCATCAATAAAACATTACCTCTGATTTGACTGTGCCAAAATGATGAGGAAGGGGCAACAAAGAAAGGAGGATATTAATGGAAGATCTTCTCAATTCTGTTGGATTTACATAGCTTTTAAATTTTGAGAGTTCTCTGCCAAAAACAAAACAAAACCCACAAAATAGCTATTAGTATTTCTGAACTAAAGTATTTTTCTGTTACTGCTGAATATATATTATGCTAATTTTTCACAACACAAATATCAGTTTCTTAAAGATGCAATACCTATTTTCTACTGAGTTTATAGTCTGCATTTGTGTTGTGTGAAGTTTTATATTAAGCTGTTATTGAATCAAACTGGAACTTTATTTATTTTAAGCTTGACTTCTTTAATCGTAAGCCCTATTTATTTTAAACTTAAGAAGCGCTGGGCTGGTTGATCAACAAGGATTCAAAATGAATATTGAGGGTGCTCAGGAATGAGGTAGGCTTGGGTATGCTATGTACATCTAATGTCACCCAGGTCCCCTTAGGTTATGGAGAGAACTGAGCAGGATGAATGAGGACACTGGGGAGAAAATGCAAAAACAGACCAAGTCAAAGTAGACCGTTGATGAAAATGAACAGAAATGACAGCTTACCTGTCAGGCAAAATGGTTTCAAGAGCTGAAATAAAGTAAGGAACCACAACATCAATCCCTTTCAAGTCACAGCAGAACAAAGGAGGAGAGTTTAGAATAACGCTGGCCAACACAGGATGGCACATAAAATCATTTATCTGCAAACCTTGAATTAAAAGCATGTAAAATCTAGGAAAGCAAGAAAAAAATTTTAAACAAATGACTGATCAATTGTTTACATAATTAATAATTTCTACAGTCATCTAATAGTCTCTTTGTACTTTTCATTCTTTCTATCCTTTAAATATACTTTAATCACCTCAAAACTGCCAATCAGCATCGTATACAGTAAAAATCCATTTTTTCTAAAAGTAACAAAAAAGATTCACACCTAGTACACCTTCTTGAAGTTTTAGGTAGACCTTGCAGTTCAAATTTTAAGACATCCAAAACACAAAATAGTTGTAGAGATCAATAAAATGGAGGAATAACTGAGTAAAAAAATTAGCATCCCCTAATGGTTGAAAAGTGAAAATGTCTTGTGTTTTTTCCCCTTCCCCATTATTTGGGGGTGGGCTAGGATGGGGAGAGAGAATGAAAGAAAGAAAAATCATGGAACCCTGCAGTTCTCCTTGTCTGAAAGCTAGTCAGAATAAGAATACCTTTCAGATATATCTGAATATACCTTATTCTTAACCCCTACTTCCAACTCGCTAAGTAGTCAGTTTTTTATCACTTAGGAGCAACTGCACCTACTTCTGCAAGGCGTTTTTCCCTTTCCACAGATTGCAGAAACTACTTCCTCACCACTGGTCACTCCTCAAAACGCCTTAAGTCAGTCTTCTGTTCCTAGATTTTGTTCTCAATCAAAATCACAGTAGCAAAAACCAATGACCTTTTAATTGCCAAATCCAGGAATCATATGTAAATTGTAGATTACTCTGCCATTTAAAAAAAACATTCACCTCTCTGGCTCCTTTGGCTAGTTCCTTTAACGGACCCCTTACCCTATCCTCTCTGGCTCCTTTGGCTAGTTCCTTTAACGGACCCCTTATCCTATCTGCCCCTAAATAATGCTCTGCAGGTTGCCCCTAGTTCTCTAATCCCTCTCTTCTACTATCCTGGATTTGCAAACTGCACACACCATTATTTCATTCCTGTCTCATTATAGAGAATACAGAAGGCTCTGAATGTAATCAAATCTGACTCCAGGTCACATCTAACAACGAAGTTTGATTCTTTAGCCAATTTAATGGATGTCTTAGGGCAGAACATATCTACCCATTACTACAGTACACCCTATGCACAGAATCTGGCACAAAGTAGTCACTTTATAAATATGTTGGCAAGCATCCTGTAAGCACCTCAAAGACAATTGTTTCAAAGTTAAACTCATCATTTGCCCAGGCTAAAATGAGCTCTTTTGACTTGGTTGCTAAACCACTTCTCTGGAGATCATCAACTTTTTTCGAAGTTCGTTGTTCCCACATCCTTGGTCTGGATGACTAATAGAGCAAATTAGTCTAATTTCAGATTCTTGGAAAAGAGGATCTGATTGGTCACCTCGACTCTACCTGTGGTATAGTCAGCTACACCTGTGAAAGCAGGAAACTAAATAAATAAATGTATATTTAGTCCTACTAGTCACCTAGGCCACCTAGGTTCCAAAGGTCACAGAGACTGGGAACTTAAGAACAAGAGGATGATCTGGGAGAAGAGAATGAATCCGTGGGAGACCGCGAATACAAAGAGAGGGGAAAAAGAAAAGCTGCTCTGATTCTTGGAACATTTGCAGTCTGTGGCTCCTGTTCCTTATGAAGCTCTACTACACTTCCAGACCTTAAAGTGTATTAAATAGCACTGATTTCTCATAACTCATTCTTTTTGCTTATATCACATTGAGAGTTTCTGTTACCTAAAGCCAGAAGTCTACAGGTTATAATACTCCTGGATTCACTCACTGTATATATCATTCTATTTCACATCTACCTGCTTTTGTACTTGACTCCTCTAATAAATGTCAGTTTAATCCTTACTCCTGCTAACTTAGCAAAAACACAGATCCCCAGATATCTTTTCTGATATTAGCATTATTTGAACAGTTATGTGCATGATCAACTAAGGAGGGCTTTACAGATCGTGGAAAATAAGAAGCTACTACAGCTAATTTAGGAGAAAAAAATGACAACGTATAATGGGGAAAGAACGATAAAGACAGATTAGGAGAATCTGATTGGTGGAATCTAAGAGAAACGAATGGTGGAAAGGTCAGAATCGATCGACTTACTGAAAATAAAGGAGAGGAGTTTAAGATGACTCCTAGTCTCTGTCCTTGACAACTGAGTGGATGGCAGAGCCGTTCATAAAGATGTTTGATGTCATAGATTTGAAATAAAATGACACTATCCAGATTCCTAGGAACCCTTGTGGCACAGTGGTTACAGGTTGGGCTGCTAACCAGAGGGTCAGCAGTTTGAAAACACCAGCTGAACCATGGACGAAGGATAAGGCTTTCTACTTCTGTAAAAAGTTAGTCTTGGAAACCCACAAGGGCAGTTCTACACTGTCCTATAGGGTCACTATGAGTTGGCATCAAGTCAATGGCAGTTGAGTTTGGTTTTTGGTTTGAGACCCACTTCCTAACATAAACTAAGTATTATTCATTCTTCACAAATTCTGCGCAATCATTCAAATCTCTGTAACTCTTTCTGAACCAACCTCTGGGGTAAGTGCTAGCTGTTTCTTCATCGTAATTCCCATAGCACATTATTTGTGCACCTCTCCTAAAATTGTCCTATTCTACCTCGGATTTGTTCATATCCAGAAAATGAACTTCTTGGAAGCAGGATTTACAGTAGACTTATTTCTAGACCTCTTACCCTACCAAATCGGTCCTAAAAGAAAAAAGTTAACAAATTAGCCTGATCCCTCCAAATCTCTATAATTCTTATAAGTAAAATTTCACTTCCACAATAAAGCGTTTTTACCAAATCTGACGAAGCATATAACACGGAGGAATTCAAACAAAGATTTCACTTGCTTACTTACAGACATTTGTAGGTATTGCAGAGCATCAATTACTATCAATTCGGCCTACCAACCCATTAAAATAGTTTCACTACAAAACTATTTAAACAGAAACATAAGCAACAACAAAAAATTTTCTAAGACCTGGATAAATAAGCTGGCAGAATCTCTTCTCCAGTCTTCTTGCTACAAAAAATCCTACACAGTGTCCCACAAGCCTCGGCTCGTCCTGCTTCATAGTTATCGGGAAAGTCACTTGCATCAAACATAGGATTGGAAACCATGGTGTCTGTGGACATTTGCGACCCTTTCCGTCGAAACTCCATGCTAGCTTGTGTCGTAATGGCTGGGGAGAGAAAAGGAAGGTTTTATTATATTTGGCACTATGTCAAACAGGCTCATGGGACCCTGGACACAAAGATCAAATATTGGTGTCATTGAATAACTACTTGAATAGAATCCAATAATGCTTTTGTGTAGCAACTGTGTTACTTTTTTTAAAAGGGCTCTCTGAAACCTTCTTTGAAATAGGTAACCATTCACAGTGGTATTGTCAGTTTAGCTGATTCTACAGAAGTTTTTTCAACTGAGTTTTTGATCATCAGACTATAGCTGTATGTATCTGTATTTACATACAGATAAGTATACTACAAAATGTGGCTTTTATATTATTTATTTTATTATAAAATGATGCTTAAACATTAAGAAAAATAGCTATTGCAATTTACACATTACTCTACACAAACATCATAAATGAATGGGCAATCTCATGCCAGTTTGAATACTTTAAGGAGAGGGCAAGGTAAGGATGAGGAATGGGTAGGGAGGAAGAGAGAGCATTCCCACCACCCCACCGAACTCCACACACATATCAAAGAATTACCCAACCAAGCAAAATGAGAATGGATTTTAGCAACCACAGACAGCAGCTAACTTGAGGTTGATAAATGAGAAAATTGGATTGGCAAAAAAAGGATTACCAAAGTCATTTGTTGTCACTGAAAACAGAAGCCCTTCGAAAGTTGCTTTTACTTTTAACAAAAGATTTCAGTGTACTGAAAATCACTCTGAAATCTTTCATCGCTCTACATGAAAATGCTTACATTTTGTATAAGAGGTTTAACAGAATGCAGAGTCAGGTATAAATCTTTATGCAACTTCCCATGAGCCATTTTTATCCTGAATAAACTATCCAGCAATAATACATTTGAAAAACACTACATGCAGAATGCATACAAATCAAACACCAAATCTGTATAAAAATAAGCTTAAAGCTTAAAAAAAAAAAAATTAAAAAAGCCAAAACAAAGTTAGTGCAAAGTCCTGGGATTCATGACATGACCAGACTAGTGTACAGAAATAATGGGACTGATTCAGGCAGATTAATTTGCTTTGCCAACAATCTTCCCCATTCAAAACACAGAAAATTATTTTCCTTCCCAAGTGCAAAAAACTACAAGAAGACAATGACAATCAAATTTTTAATGGAATTATGAAAAAAAAACAAAACATGACTGCAATTAAGGAGAAGCTCTGGTTCCTACTTACAAGATTTATAAGAAAGAAGAATTTGGATAAAAGATGCTGCAAGATAATAGAAATAAATGGAAACAAATCAAAGGACAGCAGTAATTATAAAAATACTTTAAAGATGGTGAAATTTTACAATAAGTTAAGCAGCTTTTTAGTTTTTTTTAAAAAGTTAAATTAAAAGCTTTATATTGCAAGCTAGTTCAAAAACACAGGAAATTCTGGTCCAAAATTATTTTTGTACCATGCAAAACAATGAACAAAGAAAATTATACAACTACAAAGAATTGAGGTTTTGAACTGCCATATCGTGCATTAAATGTTTAGTTCATTAACCCTTCCCAGCTCAATGTTACTTTACAACGCACAGGTTAGTGTCATATAAAACTAAAGCTAACCAGTTCAAAAGAAGCGAGCGTTTCAAGCGAGAGGTGAACCACACGGCAGAATTCCTTGATGACAGCCAGTGCTTGGACCACGACTGAGAGTGCTAGTGCCCCAGACCTCCCACCCACCCAAGACTTCCTGACTGGCACCCAACAATACTCTCATAACCCCTTTCCACCTATTTTGACCCTAGCTCCTCCTGGGTATTGTAACAGCTTCATCATCTATAAACATAATGGGGAAGAGAGAATCTTCGACCCTTTTCCCACCAAGGACTAACGGTCTTTAAAAGGCCCACCTGTCATCTGAATTCTGGTTTCGAACTTTCTGGTGTAAGAGGGTGACCAAAGCTGTTACAACTCCCGAGGGGGTAGAAAGACCCATAAATTCCCAATAAGCAAGCTTACTAACAAAGCAACAGGTTGAATCATTCTGGATTCAGGGATTTTAGTGTTAACAGCGAGTAGTTACAAGGTAAGAATGACATCTTAATAAAAATATGATGAATTCACACTAAAAAATGCAATATAAATGAATAAATATAAACATGGCTCTGAAAACTCAAAATACAAAGGACATGAACATAAAGAAAATATAATTGAAAAACAGCTTTTGAAAGTTTTCGTTTAGTCATCATGAGTAATCACAATTACTTATCCATAGCAAGCATTACTTTCACAATTGAAAATAAAATTAATGTTAAAATGATATAATAAAAAGTATCTGAATTTGGACAAAATAAACAAGACTCTTTAAACTCAACCATTCAATCTCAAATTGTAATTTTAAAAAATGCCTATATCTGTAGCTTTTCTTTATTATTTTTAAATGTTATAAAAACACCCAAATAACTCTATGTTTCTTACATTTAAATAGATATACCCTAGTTCTGAGGTGACACTAACACTAGACCTAAGAGAAAGAACAGATCCTAATGGCCAGCAAATCAGTTATGATTTGCTCTTGGAATTATTAGTCTCCCTGGAGATGCATATACTAATGAATCCCTTTATTTTAATCCATTTCCAAGCCAGCAGGGAAAAGCTTTCTTACAAAAACAACCAGTACACTCATTAATGCATGTAAAGTGTGGTATACAGTGCTGCCAGGCACACATTAAATGTAGTTCAACAAATGCCAACCACGACTATGATGATCCAGCTCTGTAAGGCACATAGGGTCGCCAGGAGAGTAGGCTTGGCCTGGATAGCAGTGACTTTTTGGTTTGGTTTAAGACATGGAAGAAATTTTCAATAAATTCTGCGCTACCCTCACCCTTACATTCTGCACCCTGTCGCTACCTCCACGTCTAATGGTTAGAGGGCAAAAATAAATTGGGTCTTATTTACAGAGCTGTATTTCTGCAATAAAATCTAAATGAAGGCATGAAGGTTGAAGTATTACTTTAACTTTTTACTGATTGGTTACAGAGCAAATTATATTTTAAGAATATATCCTTGAAATAAACTCAATTTGTGGGAACAGGTTTTAGACCAAAACCTGAGAAGTTAAAATCTTTTTGTGAAGCAAAAATTTGCTTATACTTACACATATTAATGAGTGGACAGCTGTCAAAATCTATGGAAAACACTTGTTGTAAATAAAGATCCGATCAAAATCTTTTAATTCTGCCTACCAATATCGTTACCCTGGCTGACATGAAGGGAACTTCCAGGTCACCTTCTGAAAGGAATTTGATTCAACAAAAAGTGGCTAACCTGAAGTGTGTCTAATAAAACCAGATCAATTAGGTCAAACCTCATAAAAACACACATAAAAAGGACAGGTAGGAAAGTCCAAAGTTCTGTGACTTCAGCTGGAAGGGGTTAAGCACAGACATTGCTTGGTCAGAGACAGAGAACTTTTTAAGAAACATATTAATCTTGCAGGTAGGAAATATTAAAAAGGAAAAAGAAAAGGAAAAAAATGGTAACATTATTTCTTGAGCAATATTTACCAGTCATGCTGTTGTCTCTGTTTATCCCATTATGAAGTTTACAGTGTACAAATGCTGCATCGAATAACCATGATCCGAAGAGATTCAAGATGCTGTTAACCTTTGGTCTCCGAGGTGCGGGCAATGGCCGGGGTTCTGAACTGGTCTGGTTTGGACTTGACAGAGGAGAGGTGGAGGATGTCTGGTGCTGAACTTTTGAGGCATGAGCCGTACTAACCTATCAGAAGAACACAAGAATCCCCACACATCCATGAAGAGCTTGAGAAAGTGGCAGGGCTTTATCAAAAGGATGGCAGATTTACAAGCCAACCTTAGGCAGCATACAACAACGGAGATGAAAACTCTTACTGTGCTTGTCTTCATGGTAGCCTTATTCACAGTAACAGCCCGGTGCCTCCGGTTATGTGGCGGGGTGGTACTGACAGCAGTGCTTTGAGGCATACTTAATCTATTCACGGGTGTTGGGGGAGCACTGTCTGATCGGGGTCTAGAAATACCTTTAAAAAAAGACAAACCAAGTTATTCTTCACAGTTCAAAATATATGGTCAGAAAATCTTCCCCAAGCAACACCAGTGAAGGCTCAATACAAATAACCTTAAACAGAGACTGCTAGCTGCTTTCCAACATCCATTCGCCCTTTCTTCCTGAGCAATGCAACAGAACTTTTAGCTGGTCATGGCATCTAGAATAAGTAACTACAGTTCAAGTTTTCTCTGCAGTTCAGATACTTCAGCCAGAAAGAAGTATAGACTGCAGGGTGGGTCTTTCAAGAAATCTGCTTAAAGGAATCAGACTAGAAGCAGACTCTTCCCTCCTTCCTAGTTCATGGAAAGGATAGTTGAGACTCATTCAATCACCTTGGCCCATGAGGCAATACATAAAAGATGGGGTGCTGCAAGAAGCAAAGGGACTATGAATATTTAATGAGGGTGAAACCGCTCCACCAAACTATACTACCTAGCCCTGGGTTCAGTATGTGTGAAAATAAACGTATATACTTGTGTATAAGCCGACTTTTCTGGCACATTTTTAATGCAGCTTTTGTGGTAAAATTAGGTGCCTCAGCTGATATTCAGGTTGGCTTATACTCAAATATATACGGTATCTTGTTTAGGCCACTAGTATTTAAGTTTTTCTGTTTATGTGCCAGCCATACTTAATTCTACCAAGTATATTAACTGTGTAATGTATTAATGAATTCATGTAACAAATGGTTTAGAAAAGAACAGATACTCAATAATACCACTTTATAATGGGTTAAAAAATTCTGATTTCATATTTCTAAAAGGTGATAAACTGCTTAAGAGAGGTCTACAAGTCTTATAATTTGCTTTCTGATAGTGATACAGATGAGAAAGTTACTTAAAGCATTTAATCAGTGCGAATGAACACTCTTCTCTCTCTTGTCTATCATTTACTCATATCCCTTATCTGTTAGGCTTTAATCTATTTCGCAAGTCTGTTTGATCTACTTATATAAAGATAACAAAACTCTATAGCTATCATACTTGCTGCAAGTACTTTTCCTACTTTATTGTTGTATCAAATCAAAACCTTTCCCTTAATGATTTCTGTAAACATTTCTATGATTGGGCTCTAGAGCTACCTAAACATAACTCTCGAAACATACACAAAATTCACCTAGGAATGCATCCACTAGACAGCTGATTCCACGCATGGCACGAAAAAATATTTGCGGCAGATGTTGAAGGCAGGGATACTGATTCAATTCTTGTGGCATTCCGCTGACATTCAAGAACTGTTCCTGAAATTTGGGAGTAGAGCTTATAATAGCTGGGTGACTCAAATCCACAGGATTACTATCAAAAGAAAGAAAAGAATGCATTATATATTTTGAAATTTCCTTAGCAATTAAATACATGCAATTTCATTTAAAAACAAAGCTATCTGTACCTATTTCTCTCAGAAGACTGATTCATGAGGGATTTAAACCTTGATAATTCTTTACATAAGATCTGTAGTATGCTTGAATCTACTTAGAGAATAAGAAATGAAGACTAAACATTTTTAATTTTTAAGAGCACCCATAAGTGTTTTTTCTAATATATTTGGAACTGAGGAATGAGATGATAAAGATAGAAGTAAATCAATGTAAAAACCGAAGAAGCTTTTACATTTCTGAGTATATATATATATTTCAAAGCTGTATGAAAGTCAGCATTTACTGCTAGTTTACATTGTGTTGAAGTGTATGTATTAGAGCACATATTCCTAAACAATGTATTTGAGAGTGAGTATTATTTTATGTACAGATACTTTTAATTATTTCCATTAAAACCATTTAGATTTCTACTCAAAATGGAATCTGCTTAGCTGTCCACTAATTAGCAGTAGCATTGATAATGAACCTATAGCCAATACCTGAAAGGAACATACATGTGCTACAAGGCCAACAGAACCGTCCTGAGGAATATGCATCAGTTCTTTATACATTGCCCAACATCTGAAACCTCTTTTCTGTCCATTCAAAGATTCATCATTTCAAATAATTGTAAGCAGGGGAAAGGAAAACATAAAAAATGGATTTGTACTATTGAGATAGTATCTAGAGACTCATAGAACATGGTGTCCATAGCAAGACGGGTGGGGAAAAGGATATAAAAAGGTTAGTAGCAGTGCATCTTTCTAGAAAAGAGAAAACCAGACAAAAAGCTTGAAACAGACTACACTTCATTCCATCAGAGCATTTGGCTCCGAGACACTGACCCATGACTACTAGGTATTACACACTACCCCTGCTCCTCCAGAAATAAGCCTGAAATGATTTACTGCAATGCAAACAAATAAAACTTGCAATGAGAATAGGTAACAGATAACAAAAACTGTATTTCTGCAACTTTCAAAGTTATTTGCATCAGAACATACTTGAGGAATCTTAAAAATTTAAGGTCTACCTACATGTACTGAAATAAAATATATGGGTGGGGCTTGAAAGACAGATATCACCAATCTTTCTAGTAATCCTTAAGCAGTTGGCCATGCACAAACAAGTTCACTGGCAAGCATTTGAGAACGGTAGTGTTAAAATCAACAAAAAAGTTTTGTTTTTTCCTGGAAAAGATTAAGCATTACCTTACTAGGCAAATTTTTGGTTCCTGTATCTCCATCATATTCAGCCCTCTTCCCAGAAAACCAGCCAGTGGCTGTAAGACAGATGCACGGCTCTGTAACACTCATGGAGCAGCATTCAACCCACTTAGAACTTATTTGGGTTGTAAAATTGCCCAAAAGGAGACTATCCATCCAGATGTCTGCTAGTGATCTACAATTAATGTGAACTCAAACAGTAATTTGACCCATCTTGAGAATCTGAGCAAAGAGCAAGTCCCGGCTAACTGGAATGGCTTGATTGATTCTGCCCCACTGCCCCACAGCTATCTGCATCACTGGGCAATCATCATGGGGCTGCATGTCCACCAAAGGCTGGCGGGAACATGGACCCAACAAGTGTAAGAAAGAGCTCAGTATGGGTGCCTGAGAAAAGCCCGAGAGAGACGGAAGACAGACTGCATGTTGTAAGGTTGCTTTAATCCCTCCATATCCTGAAGTCTGGTTGCACAATGCTTCTTGAAGTATACTGAGGCTAATTCTATAATAACCTCTCGTGTGTGTGTGTGTGTGTGTGTGTGTGTGTGTGAGAGAGAGAGAGAGAGAGAGAGAGAGAGAGAGAGAGCGCACCTTACATCCAAAGGAAACCTGAGTAATACCTTGACCAAACTCATCTCAAGAAGAAAGATAATGCCTGAAAAAACTAATTAATATTTTAAAAATTAGGTGAGGCTGTCCAAGAACTATCTCCAAAAGAGTATATGACCAAAGTGATTTCTTTCAAATTTTTAAGAAACACAACTTTAATGCTATAAAAACTGCGATACAGCATAGAAAAGTACTCCTGTTTGGGAGTGGTTTGGTTTTTTAAAAAGTTCTCAAAGCATAAACTAGCCAAAAAACAGACAAATCAGAAAAATATTAAAAGAGGAATATCCCATAACCAAGGAGTACTGGTGGCACAATGGTTACATGCATGGCAGCTAACTCCAAGGTTAGCCGTCCATTCTCTGGGAGAGATGAGGCTGTCTGCTTGCATAAGAAATTTCAGGCTGGGAAACCCTACACAGGGTCTCTGTGAGTCAGAATCAACCTGATGGCAGAGGGTTTGAATGTTTTATAAAGAGCCCTGCTGGTGCTGTAGGGGTAAGCAGTGGGTTGCTAACCACAAAGGTAGTGGTTCAAACTGACCAGCCATTCCACAGGAGAAATTTGAGACTCGCCACTTCCATAAAGATTTATAGCCTCAGAAACCCTATATAAGGTCCCTACGAATCAGAAATGACTTCATGATAGTAGTTTTGGTGCTTTTCTGGTTTATAACTAACTGGCAAAACATTTTTGACAAAATAAAGTTTTGCAAAATAATGTTTTAAATAAAATAAAGGTATCTTAAATGAAAAGAAATAAATTATGCTCAGAATAAGATTTTCAAAACACTGGAGATAAAGAAGGCGTACTTAACAAATGGTAATGCAGAGCAGTGCAAGCAACAGAAGACAAGATAAAGTATCTCTGGGCATCTGAAACAGAGGGCAAAGTTTTAAGTAAGGGCTACAAATAACTGAGGCCAAAGTATTAGAATAGTCTGTAAAGTGTAGACTAGAGGCCCCAGGATGGACCCAAAAGAATACAAGCCCCCCAAAAAAGATGAATACAAGCCAGGTGGTAGGCTCCTCAAGGGGTGCTAGTGTCACTAGAAAAGATAACAGCAATAAGAAAGGTTATCTTGAGAATGATGAGTGGTCATTCTAGATCTAGTGGTCATTCCTAGCTCTAGAAAAGGAAAAGTGGTCTGGAACCAGTAGAAAACAACAAGAATTCCAATCCTAGGAGTCATGAGGAATGACTGCTCATTGAAAAGGTAGCAAAGAAAGTGGTATTCTTTTTTTCGTGTATGCTCATCTTTTTTTTTTAAATCGTTTTATTAGGTGCTCATACTACTCTTATCACAATCCATACATACATCAATTGTGTGAAGCACATTTGTACATTCCTTACCCTCATCCTCAAAACATTTCCTATCCACTTAAGCCCCTGGCATTAGGTCATTTCCCCCCTCCCTCCCCGCTCCCCTCTCCCTCATGAGCCCTTGATAATTTATAAATTATTATTTTGTCATATCTTGCCCTGTCCAACGTCTCCCTTCTCCCACTTTTCTGTTTTCCGTCCCCCAGGGAGGAGGTCACATATAGTTCCTTGTAATCAGTTCCCTCTTTCCAACCCACTCTCCCTCTACCCTCCCAGTATCGCCACTTACACCACTGGTCCTGAAGGGATCATCCGCCCTAGATTGCCTGTTTCCAGTTCCTATCTGTACCAGTGTACATCCTCTGGTCTAACCAGACTTGCAAGGTAGAATTCGGATCATGATAGTGGGGATGGGGAGGAAGCACTTAGGAACCAGAGGAAAGTTGTATTTTTCATCGTTGCTACATCACACCCTGATTGGCTCGTCTCCTCCCCGAGACCCCTCTGCAAGGGGATCTCCAGTGGCCTACAAATGGGCTTTTGGTCTCCACTCCACACTTCCCTACCCCATCATTCACTATGGTAAGATTTTTTGTTCTGATGATGCCTTATACCTGATCCTTTCGACATCTCATGATCGCATAGGCTGGTGTGCTTCTTCCATGTGGGCTTTGTTGCTTCTGAGCTTGATGGGTGCTTGATTACCTTCCAGCCTTTAAGACCCCAGACGCTATACTTTTTGACAGCCGGGCACCATCAGCTTTCTTTGCCACATTTACTTATGCACCCATCTGTCTTCAGTGATCCCTTCGACACCTCGTGATCACACAGGCTGGTATGTTCTTCCAAGTGGGCTTTGTTGCTTCTGAGCTAGATGGTCGCTTGTCTACCTTCAAGCTTTTAAGACCCCAGACACTATATCCTTTGATAGCCGGGCACCATCAGCGCTCTTCAGCACATTTGCTTATTCACCTGCTTTGTCTTCAGCAGTTGTGTCAGGAAGGTGAGCATCATAGAATGCCAATTTAATAGAAGAAAGTATTCTTGCATTGAGGGAGTACTTGAGTGGAGGCCCAATGTCCTTCTGCTACCTTAATACTAAATCTATAAATATAGGCACATATCAAGCTACAATCGGCTAAGGAGTTTAAGAATCAAAGCTAGCTTCACAACAAAAAAAGATCCACAGAGCACATGGGTGGGCCAGTAAAAGAGTCAGGAAGTGATGGATCTGAACTGTACAGAATCATTAGAAGGAGAAGCACAACAGGAAGGAAGTAGGTGTGTATTACTTTGTGAAATTTAAATAGCAAGGGTACCAAGAAAAGGCCCAAGACACCGATGAACCACCTAACTACCCTCTAATTCTTTAAGATTTCCTCCCCTTATTTGGTAATTATATAATCGTGTGTCAATTTGAGAAGATTAGGAGTGAAGGGATAGAGTCTGGCCTGTCAATCAGGTCATAGCCAGTGAGGCCTCTGTGTGGGCATGGCCTTTTCCTGAGGATTCTGGGAGCTCCAGTTTTCCTCCTAGGAGGTGGGAGATATTCATTCTCTCTCTCTCCTCACTCCCTGGAAGACACTCAGCTGACAAGACACATGGAACTATGCTAGTGCCCTGAGCTGGAGAAGCCATGTGGAGATCCCTGCCTGTGCTGAGATGCTTACAAAGCCACTGGATCCACAAAACTTTCCTCCCACTGGCGTGTAATGTTCCTGCATTCAGTGTCATTGAATGTGTTTTGTGAGTCTGAAGAGGACTTTATAGATTGACATTGGACATATGGGCAATATTGGAGCTATGGACTTGATGTGGAGTGGGCTGGGATATTTTCTCAATATTCAATTGTTCTTTCTTATACACACACGAGTGTCTATGGATTCGTTTCTCTAGTCTATCCAGGCTAACACACTTTACTATTATTTATGTTATACATATTAATCATGTTATATTTGTGTATGTTCATTTGTATATTTAAGATGGCTCGGGATACGGTAGCCAAGATAGATAACAGTTCCCTGAAGGCATGGGAAGTGGGGGGTGAGGTGGGGTGGGGAAGGGGAGGTTGATAGCATTGATGATTGTATAACATACCTGATGGGACTGAACAACATTATTGTATGTGAATGGATCTATTGGAATGTATAAGATATGTCAATAAAACTACTTAAAATTTTTTTTAAAAAAGAAAAGGTCCAAGAGCCAGGCTGCCAAGTGAGCATTAGCCACACAGATGTGGAGCAGTCTGCAATCTCCACAGAGGATGGCAGAGTTCTGGGAGACAGATCCAGGCCGCAGCAATAGGCAAGAGCACAAGCATGGCATTCATTAAGGGAGAAAGCTCCCCGAGTACCGGATGAAAGCAGCTGAGGGTCTGTAAGCTGCTGGGTGAGGAGAATAGAAGGCACAGAATACAGATGTGCCTGCTATTGATGTGGCTCCATTCGATGGATCAACTTTCTTAGATACATGCTCAACTCCAGATGAGAGGTTCAGCCTAGTTCCTTCGATAGGACATTCACTGAGTAAACAACACATGAAGCACTACAGTTACAGTACCTTAACATATGTAAAAATCGAAACCATGTCTGTGCAACACACTCATTATCCATATCAGGAGGAATCAGACTGGCATCCTCATCAGGAACTTTAAATGGAGGGAATGAAGGACCGTATGTAAAGCGTAGCAATCTAGAAAATAAAGTAATGCACACCATTAAGTTTTGAATGACACACTTAAGCATCAAAATATGATTAGAAAATAAGATGAGAAATGTGTACCTCATTGACGTGAGTAAGATATATGCAGGGGCTTTCACAAAATTTGTGAGGAAATTCCATTACCTTTCACTTCTATTTTTCCATTGATTTTTTTAACCCCCCCCCCCCCCCCACATATAAAAACCCTAGCCTATGAACTTGACAAACTGAAAAGCAGTACTTCTTTACTTATTCTTGTATTGACTCTGAGGTATCATGGTGCAATTTAATATTATGAACTTATCTTCAAATAAGATATGTTTTCTATTTTGATTATAAAAGTAATATATGCTTATACAGGGAAACTTGTGAGAGCTGGAACTCAATGGGATGGTCTTCTTTTTCTGGGTCTCCTAAGTTTATACCTTTAACAGGGCACAGTCAGCATTTCCCATCACTCTATACTAGCTTTCTGGAGGATCTTTGGTTATGTGTTGGGGTTTAACAAAGGTCAGCTGTTTGAACGCACCAGCCACTCACGAGGAGAGAGATGAAGATCGATCTTCTTAGAAAGGCTCAGGGGCAGTTCTACTCTGTCCTATAGGTCACCATGCATCAGAAGGGACTCCACGGCAGAGAGCGAGTACTAAAGTCAAAAATGCTCGGCTTATTCTACCCAAAATGTTTGAACATGTCTCTGTGTCGGGAGATGGCTGCAGACAAGTGGTCTCAGTAATACACTTGTCTTAGTCTCTTTAGGGTGCCTTCAAAGAAAAGGTTCAATAAAAACAGTGGTTTCTGAGGGGACCTGCTGAGTCAGTTAAATTCAAAGTCAACTCATAAGGTTATGGCAAGTGCCTTTGAAATTCCAAAATGTAATCTTGATTAGCTTTTTAAAAAAATTTAAATCATTTTATTGAGAGTTGATACAACTCTTATCACAATCCATCCATCCATCCATCGTGTCAAGCACATTTGTAAATATGTTGCCATCATCATTTTCAAAACATTTTCTTCTACTTGGGAACTTGGTATCAGCTCACCCCCCACTCCCCCCATCCCCTACCCCACTCCCTCATGAACCCTTGATAATTTTTTTTCATGTCTTTCACTGATCGCTTGATTAGTTTTTAAAGATCATTGGACAATCAGGAATTTATTAGGAAGAATTTTAAGAAAATGGAAATCTGCACTGCTAAGAAAAGGGTCAGTAAAGTTACACCATGGAATTTTTTCCCCCATCATAATAAACACCCGCTCACTGTTTGAGGGCTGACAGGATTGTCCTTTGAGAACTTCATTGGCGAACCTTATCCAATCCACCTGACAGTCGTGATTTTGTCCTTTCAAACTTCATTTGGCTCCCCAAACTCAAAGAACATTTCAAAGCAACACAATTTTAGTTCCTCAAGGATGCCAAGACTGACATGGTATAGATCAAATAGCACAGAATTCTTGGGGAGAAGGGTTAGAATGATAACACATATATAGATCTAGATGGGAGGACATACTGAGAAACAATAGCTTCACATTTTGATAAAAAAAAAAAAAAAACAACAACCCCAAAACTCACTACTACTGGTTCTGACTCATAGGGACCTCCTAGGACAGGGCAGAAC